AGTTCTGAGAAGAGCTCAGCTAGACTTAGATAATAGGAAATCATATTCACATATTATTAAGTGCCTACTGTGCATTAGAATCTATGCTAATTATAGAAACCATAATAGCAAACTAGAAAAGCGTGGCCCTTATTGTCCCAAAGCTCACAGTATAGCAGGAGAGACCAACATGGATAAAAACTTGGTTCATTAACTGCAGTTGTAATGAATGTTCCAAAAGAACAGCGCAGAGAGCTATGAGACCAGTAATCTGGTCTGGGAGGGTCAGAGAAGCTGCTCAGCGAAAGCTAATTGGGAGAGAGATGGGCAGACAAAGGAAATAACATATTCAAAGGCCTCAGGTGGGACCAAGTTAGAACAAGCTAGAGAAGCTGGAAGAAAGCCAGTATGGTGGATTTCTAGAAGAAAGATGGGGTGTGGTGAAGTAAAGATGAGGCTGGAAAATAGCCCATAAAGAGGAAAGGAGCAGAGCAATGACAAGCCCCTGAAGGATTTAATTAGAGGAGTGACATAATCAGACATTCAAGTTGAAAAGATCGTTTTGGCTGTGGTTTGGAGAATGTGTTGGAGAGAGTCTTAGTGGCAGTTAGAATACTTGCACAGAAGTCCAGGAAAGAGAATGCAGTAGCCGGAGCCCCAGGGAGACAGTGGAGGTGGTGAGAGGGTCGCATTCAAGAGCTACTTAGAGGATAGTATTGATTTCTCCCGTTTTTCTGGCATGAGCAATTGGATGGATTGTGACGCCATCTAATGGGACACAAGATATCAGAGGAGGATGAGGCTGGGAGAGGAAGGGAAATCATGAGTACATGAGGGAGTTAAACAAGCAAGCAGGTGTTTTTTTAATTGGTTATAGTGTTTTTTTAATCAATTTTACAAATTCACCTATCTACGTTAGTATTTCCCAAAGTGTGTTCTTTAGCCTCCTGCTTGTCAAAGAGCATCCTACGGGCCCACATACTTCTACAAGATCCTAGGCGATTCATAGCACATTAAAGTTTGTAAAACACAGCTCTCAGACAAAGAACCTGGGAGATGTTATGTGACCAAAAGTTTCCCAGAGAAATGGTGAGACCAGGTCTACAGTAACCCCTATTTTTTTAAAAAAACTATTTTTCTGGAACTTTTTGTATTTATATTTACTTCTCACCCCTTTCCCCATCCATACACATAACTTAAATTAATAGAGGAGGACTGAGCATTCTGTGGGACACACTTTTAGAAACACTGATTTATAGCATGCAGAATAAAGCTTCTGAAGTCAGATCTACTCAGCTTTTAATTTATTTGTTGATTTTACAAATATTAATTGATAACCCAGTATATGGGAAGCATCATTGTTGATACTGGGACTATAGAAATGAGGAAACACGACAATGTTCTCTGCCCTTATAAAGCTTATGTTCTAGCTGCGGAATGTGTTTAGCATTGCAAAGAATAAACTGCCTGGTATGTTACATGGTGAAAAGTGCTAAGGAGAAGAATAAAGCAGGGAGGAACAGGGAGTGCTGTAGAAGGCAGTCTAGTTAGTGCCAAGGCAATGAAGTAAGAGCTGAGGGAGGCGAGGAGAAAGGTCTGGAACTTTTAGGAAGTATCCTGGGGCAGAGAGAACATTAACTCAGAGATCTGGGAGTAGGCAAACGTCTAGTCTTTGAGGAACGGCAAGGAGACAAGTGGGCCTGAAGGGCAGAGAGAAGAGGGAGCCTCAGGGTAGTAATTGGAGCTCTGGCCTTTGCCAATGTTGAGAGACTTATGCAAACTCTAAATCTCCATCCCGCACGTGGATGATAATTGTGCTTATTTTGTAGGTTGCTGTGAGGTTTTAACAGGATCTTGTATGTGCAGTGTTTGATGCAGTGCCTGGTTCATAGGAAATGCTCCAGCATGTTGGATACGATCATCAGTGCTTATAGGTTAAGAATACAGACTCAGGAACCATCCTGCCAGGGTCTGAATCCTAGCTCAACTGACTCACTACTTACTGGCTATGTGACTTTGGGCAAGGTGTTTAACTCTCTGTGCCCCAGTTTCCTCATCTATAAAATGGGCATAATGATAGAGCCTCTCTCATGGGGTTGGTATGAGGATTCATGTGTTGATATATGGAAAGGCTTAGAACACTGCCTGGCACATAGTAAGGTCTCCATAATGTTAACAATTATTAGGATCATTAATGAGGTTCAGAAATAGACTGAAGTCTTTCTGATGTGAGCTCTACGGGGTAGAAGATTTGTAGGCACAGGTAGAGCAGATGGTCTCAAAGAAGTCGGAAGGATTTTCCCTCCTCAACTAGAAGAAATTAGCCAAGGCTGGAAGAAGGAGGATGAGGAATAGGAAGAAAAGGAGGAACAGGAAGAGGAGAAGAATAAGGAGAGAGCTGTGAGTTACAAGAGAGAGAGAACCAGACTCTTAGAACAGCCATAGAGCAGAATGGCTATCTGGTAAATCTAGGCAAATGTGATCAGAGGCAGCCTTGAGTAAATGTGCCTATAGTCTACGGGAGGCACTGAAGCAGCAGAGAGCCACAGGGCACGTGGTCAGGAAGAATGGATGGCTCAGGACATAAAACTTGTTAGGACTATGTATGAGTTATCTATGCTGTGTAACAAATTACCCCCAAAAGTTGGCATCTTCAATGTTTTCTTTTCTCTCTCCAATGCTACCTTAATGTTACTGGAATGTACATTTCTTTGATCACTTATAGCAGCACAGATGTGTAGGAACCCATAAACAGCATCAAGTTCTTAGAGCTCTACTAAGACATAGATACAAAATATAAAATGAAACCCACAGAGGTTTTTGTAAAGCCAACCTTTGGCAGTTCAACATATTTCCACTACAGAATTTTTCATAAGATCAAGCTTCTGGAATTTAATGGTATTCTGAATTTAATAGCATCAATGCATTATCCTCAATAAATTTAAGTGATTGAGCATAGAATACTACTATGCACTACTCCTAACTGGATGAGACCAGAAGTTGATAAGCAAGAAGTTTTGCTTTGCTGAAAGTTTTTCTCATGTTCTCGCAGTCAGGGGTGACAAGTTAGCTCTGAAAATCATCCCTCCAGTGACCGTGGTGTATCCAGCTGGCCTGACTCATGGGCTGCACATTCCCGCTGCTGGTCCAGGAGATTGTCTCAGATCTTCACCACGATCCTCAGCATGAATGCCACAGATGTGAGCCCCACAGGAAGTGTGACCTCATTCTGCTTCTCTGTCTCTGATTACGCAGGCTGTTTTTGAAAGAAAACAAGAGGGGTTGTAAGGCCGACTTTCCTAAGAACTACACACTCTTCTATTCTAGGAAACAGCCAAAGGAACAAGAGGCTGCTGAAGACAAAACTTCTCTGCAAACGCTGGCACATGGCGACGTGTGTAGGCATCTATTAGAAGGGAGGATGAGATTCCCTTTATGAAGAGACTTCTGCACCTGGTGACATTCTGACTGAATTATTCTCAGCTGAAGAACTGCTCAGTCCTCAATTTCTCCGCTGTCAACCACAGGAAGCTTCGTATTTCAGTAATCATTTACCAATCTGTTTTGTCATTTACCAATCTGAAGAAGAGACTGGGAATTTCTTTAGCAGTAACATGTACGGGAAAATTATTTTTTCAGAATAGATGTGTTGCTTTGGTGGAACTGGTAGATGGAATCTGTTTCTTGAAAAGTTTTAAAGCTGTAACTGAAGTCTCTTTCACTGTTACTAATTCTCAATTTACTGTCAGTATACTGGCTGTAGCCTGCTACAAGTAACATATAAGACCTTGTTTTCTGCCACAGATTTGTTGGCTTAAAATTAAGCTTAATGCTTGGGAAAAACCAACAGGGTGATTTGAGCTGGGCATAGTTATATTATATTGATCAAAAATGAAAAAGGACAAGTGACATACTAATATATTGTTACATTGCAAACAATGTTATTTTATACTGGAAACAAATGACGTTTATAAATGTGTGCTTTGATTGAGAGATCTTCCATAGATTGCCAGAAAGTTATCTTAAAATCTTAAAAGGTCTCTATAAGCCAAGTTTTATATTTTCTAACAGGATTTGTATGTCATTTATTGAAATAATCAATTTGGAGATATAGAATTAGCCTTGTTAGATTGATTGTACAACAGCTACAAAAACAATCCATGACTAGTTATCACATTTAAGAAATGTGGATAGAGATGGTGAATCAGAAAAGAAGTTAGTTCTACTTTGTAAAACTATTAGAATAGTGCTATATAGGAAGTTCAATTATCAACAGGAGGTAGGTCTATGTGGTGAGTGGTAAATGATCAAAGTTTACATAATTTATACACTTTTATATGTGTTTAGTTTATAGTTGAGAAAGTAAATTGTATGTTTTTGGGAACTGAGTTTTGAAATTTGCCCAGTGATACGGTATTTTTAGTGCAATGCTGTTTATGTTGTGTAGAAATGTCCAGGCAGATAACAGGCTGATAACAACCACAAAAGAGCACTGGCCCTGTGTGTGACTACCTGTTAGTGGTTCAAGTTCTTGGGCAAAAGACAGACACCAATCCCCAAGCATTGTTTGAAACTTGATCATGAGGTTGATTTGTATTGGATGATTAAAACACAAATAAGTTTGTTTGGGGTATTCTAGAACCAGTCATTTTTCAGATTTCTTAATCATATAACTCTCTTTCATTATTTTATTTGGATTACAAAAAAACCTTTGTAAGTCTAGCTTTTCCAAATGAAATGTTGTTCTTATTTGCAAAAAATGATTATTTAGATGCATGAATGAGACAATGAAAAATGTAACCCAAATCACAGAAGCAGACACAACCTTAGTGAAGTCCTTCAATCTGGTCTCCTGCCTTCAAGCTTATATCTCTGCATCATTTCAGTAAACAGACTGACTAGTGCAATTAGTAGATGCCATCTGTTTTGGCACCATTTTTTCTATTTTTAATATATAGTCCACCGTTTTTTAACGTCTTTTGCAGAAAATCTGTGAAGTTTGAGCAAGCGGCCTTCCCAAGATGTACCGAATGTCTCAACTGATGTCAACACCAGTCGCAAGTAAATGTAGAACTGCTATATGCAATTATCTTTTTGAGCGATTAGACTCCTTTTAGCAATTTCCTTGCTTTGATTTTGCTGATACTCAGACCATTAACCATCTGTCAGTAGCTTGTGCTTCTTAAATGCCAGTGCTCACTTTGGCAACAATTTTGACTTCATTTCTTTCCTTGAGAGAAATGTGGTATTTTTCCTTTTAGTAGAAAAAAAAAATCACCATTTTTTTTAGATGCCTGCGTATAAATGTGAAAGGAGCTTGTTTATCAGCTACTATTAAGATGCAAAACTGTTTGTCTATAAAAAAAATGCTGAATGGTTTTGATAGCTACTTGCAGAAAATAAGGGCGTTGTTAAAACGGTAGTGGTTTCAAGTTTCTTCCTTCCTCTTGTTATTTTCTCCCAAAACTTCACTTGTAACCTTCCCTCACACACCCACAATTTTCTCCTTACAAATCAGCCAGCCCAATCTCAAAGTCTAAATGCCTTTCTTTGTCCTAGTAATTGTCAGTAAAGGAATCAAGTTTCACTGAGCCTATTAGAAGTATTGACACCATCACTGTACATTATAAAATTCTGCTTTAGGGTTTAGAATATTAATCAGCTGCTATTCTCCCCAAGTGAAGTAAGTCTATTGCCATGCTTTTGGTTAAACTGGAATGAATGAATGGATGATTTTTTTTTTTTTCAAATTAAGAATTCTCACAGGCTTCATACATTGGAAAATCATATACAAAACAAAGCAAAACTTTATTTTTCCCCTTACTAATGTCTTTTGCTCATTATTCTACAGTAGATATGTCTTAAAATACACTAATGAGGGAGAGTCTGAGTCAATGATTAAATTCCTCAGACTACTGAGTAGCTACAATAACCAACAGATTGGGTAATTGATTTTGGTTTCCCCCAACTTCACACAAGATGTTTTCTTCCTTTGTTTCACGAGCTCAGTTTGATGCTAATGATTTATCATTGCCTCATTCTACACTAAGGAACCTCTACAGGAGTGTTGTGTGCAAGAAGGGACAGGGGATAGAAGCCCCTCTGTCATCTCTTGCTTCCCACTGAGGCCTGGTGATGAGTTGTGTTCAGCTGATTCTCTGTATGGCTGCACTAGCTGAAGTCTTTCTGCTGAGGCTGGCACATCAGCTCTTCACACCTTCTTACATGCCTCCCCTATTTGCAGTCATGCATATTGGTGACATGTGATAAATGTCTACTTCTCTCACATTTGCTTATGCAGGTTCTTCCTGGTTGGAGAGAGAACATGCTAGAGAGCTGTCTCCCATGTGCATTTTTCCAAGGTATCCCACGGGGCTGTCCTCAAGAAAAGACAATCAAATTCACTTCCTGAATGTCTCATTTTGTTGCACTCTTGATTTTAAAATATCATTTTAGCCGTCATCCAGTTTTGGTATGGTTATACATTTTCAGTCCCACGCACAAACAAAATGAAAATGAAAATGTGCCTGATCTAATAATGAGTGTGTGTGTGTGTGTGTGTGTGTGTGTGTGTGTGTGTGTGTGTGTGAGAGAGAGAGAGAGAGAGAGAGAGAGAGAGAGAGAGAGAGAACGTGTGGGTGGATGCAAATTGTTTCTTTGTTTATTGAGTGGAGAAATGATTGAATTCTGATGGATGGTTACTTTTTCTCAAATTGATGTTCTCATATGTTTTCCTATCTCATTTTACAAGAGCCACAGGATTCTTCACCAATGCGCAAGCTGGCCAAATTTCATGCTCCATTCAAACTTGTAGATTTTACCATTTTGTTCAACTACTACAATTGAAGTCTCTTTTCTTTTCTTTTTTTACTGATTCTTTCTCTGTCTCTCATTCCTTATGCAGGCATCAGTTCATGTTTCCCCTAGAATTTTGTGAAATATGTCCATAGTTTAAAGAAATCATGCATTTTTATTAGAACCTGCCCCTTTTTGTTATTCTAGGTCTCCTAATACTACTAAAACAGTCAGCTGAGGATGAACAAGCAGAACATGTGGAAAGAGCATACATTTTAGATTCAGATAGACTAGGGTTCATATCCTAGCTCTCCCACTTACATTCTATGTAAAATATCCAAGTGATTTGCCCTTATGCAATTCATTTTTTTTCCTGCTGTACAATGAAGATACTAATAATACCTAGCTTTGGGAGGGATTTGTGAAGAGTAGGTAAAGTGTAAAATCTGAGGCCAGACCCATAGTAAGTGTTTAACAAATAGTATTTATTTAAAATAGTATTTTATTACTAACTTGAGTGCATGTATTAATTTTGCATAGGATTTTAATATTTAAAAAATCAGAAATTCAGTAGAGCATAAGGGAGATGTAGAGAAGGATGAAAGATATTTTATAATCAATGTGTCAATAATTATCTAAAAACTTTTAAAGGTTCTAATGGCGTTTATCTCTTCTTTAACCAGTCTTTGTGCTATCCTAGAAGGTGTGAGCTCTAGACTCTTCCAACAACTGATGAGAAGCCTCACAAGACAAGAAGAGACTTTGTCTTTGGGTGGTTGAGCACATCACTGGGCTTTGGTGTGGGGCTGGATTTCTGAAGCCAATTGGAAGAGACCTGCTAAAAATAATCAGTTACTAGGATTATTACAGTGGAATTGAAGTGGGAATCAAGATCTGGACATAATTTTGTTATCCCCTTAAAATGTTTGATATTGTTGGGGAAGAACCTCTTTTTTGCTATAATCCAAATGTTGGAAGAGCTTACCATCATGAGACTAGAAACAAATGGGCATTAAAATAGAAAGATGACAGGGGTTAGGGAGGCTGCAGTTGATAATTGTTAAATTTTGAAACCTCAGAAACTGGAGTGCAGATAGAAATATAGGTCTAGAACTCAGTAACCTCCAAAGTGTCCAGCACATTATAATTGCACCATTAATTCTTGAGAGGCAAAATGGTGCAGAGGAAAAAGCACTTAGGGTAGGAGACAAAAGATGTAGATTCTTACTCTGCCTCTCCAGCTCATCAACCTTAAGATCTTAAACAATTAATTTATGCTACAAGAGTCTCCATTTCCTTATCTACTAATAGGGGCAAAAATAACCAAAATGTGTTGATAAAGGAGGTCAGTGCATATCTGGAAAGTAGTCTCCTCTGGCGTTTCCTAAGTTTCAGATTTTTACCTCTACTATTCAATATTTTCATCAGTGGTTTCAATTAAGAACATATAGATGCCAGAAATAAGATTTTTGGATCAATCATGTAAAGATATTAAAAGTGTTGAATCCCTCCAAATTTCAAGAACATAAAACTATGAGCTATTTAAATAGTAACCAACAGATTTATCTTACAGCACTTAGACTACAGAAGGCATAGGTGTTAATAACCTTTCATGAAATTATGACATTTAATCTTTATGGCAGCTCTATGAGGTTTGTTTTATTCCCCATTGTATGGATTCTCACTTACAGGAAACCAAGTCTTGGGGAGAATAAGTAACTAGCAAGTGCTAGAACCGGGATTCAAATCCAGATGTAAACTTAGCTCTATCTAGCTCCAAATACTTTGCTGTTAGTCTGTATTATATATTAACTTTCTAAGGTAAAATTGGTCCAAAAGTCCAGGAAGGGGAAGGTATAACTAAATATATGGGGAAAAGACTAGAAATTGATATTTGATTCAGCAGTATGACAATAAATTGGTGACTATGGAAAAAGAAAGAAAAGAATCAATCTAATACGACTTAAGCTTTATTACTAAAGAAATGGATTCTATAATGAGGGAGGAAATAGTCCCAGTCACCACTAGGCAGACATACCTAAAGGGCTGGCTTCTGTGCTTGGCATGATACATTAAGGGTGTTTAAAAACTGTCAAATATAGACGAGCAATCAAATTAAGATAGAGATGGGATCAAAACCACAATGTGTCATATAATGATGAGTTAAACGAACTGGAAAACTTTTAATATGGGGAAGAGAGGACACAGGAAGGACATGGAAACTTCCTCCGAATAGCTGAATAGCTCTCAAATGGAAGGTAGAAGAGACCAGAAAGGAAGGGAAGGGAAGAAATGAACATTTATTAAGCACATACTATGTGCTAAGCACATTCCATTCATTTTCTCATTTAATTGTCAAGTCAACTCCATATGGGAGTTGCTATTTTTTCTCATTTTACAGATAAGAGATCAGTCTGAGAGGCTAAATGATGGCGTTAAGTTTACTTATCTAATCAATGACAGGACAATGGATTTAGGGCAGATTGACTCCAAATTCCATGTCTTTTTCTCTATACCATAGTCCATATTTGTTCAGTGCAAGTCAGGGGGGCTTAGTAGATGTGGGGTCCTTATTACTGGAAGCGTGCAAGCAGAGATGGGATAATGCTCATCAGAAATGCAACAAATTAGACAAGCAGGATTCCTTCTGATCCTCAGACTCTGTGATCCTCTGGAGACAATATGCTCCCAATTTAGGCAGTTAAGGGGCCAGCACGTGAGAGCTATAATCAGTGATACTGGTTGATTGACATAAAACTGCCCCAAGAATTCAAATATATTCAATTTGAATATATATTTAAAAGGCCATATTTCCATAGCTTGTCAGGTGATTTCATTCAGCAACTGGTATTGAATTTATTTATATACCAAACATTTACTAGGCACCCTGCCCCTGCCCTCCAGAAATACGTAAAATAATTATAGAGGCAGACACACATACATACAAATCACAATGAAATTAGTTAGACTTAGGACAAGGAAAAATAATAACTTTTGTGGAAGAAAAGAGTAAAAATCAAGTAGTTTTGCCTGAGGAAACAACATATTCTTTTCTGTAATATGGCCCTATAACTGTTATTATCAGGCTTCTGCCAAACTTCATCTCAAGAAATTTTAAGTTTCCAGAATCATAATATCTTCATAATTTTGGCTGCCTTTCAATCATACAGGCATGTGATTATTTTTACACAGAAGACACATGCAGATTTACCCAACTGAGTGGGAGACTTTCCTGGACTCCACATAAGGGAATGTAACTGTGTGACCATTTGTGTGGTCAGCCTAGAGGAAAATTTGCAAAGGCCAAAGCGATCTCTTTGATTTCATGTTCAACCCATACTTCACATGTTCTGGTGGCTGCATGGTTACAATTTCTCTATTACAATGACAAGAATAAAGATATGGTAATTAGAAGGCTATTCAAAGTAAAGGAATGGAAGGAATTATGAGCTTCCAGCATCCCAGAAAGGCTGTTTTGCAATTTTTCCATCTAAGAAAATGGGAAAATGTCAAGAGGATTGTGAAGAAACTGATTCGCTATAGTGTTTTCACCAAAATTTAAAACAGAAAAAAGCACCGAATGTCCTGCAGTTCAGTGCTCTCACAGGTAAGGAGATGAAGCCCAGAAGGTTAAGAGTGACATTCTTAATGGTTGCAGAAGTAATTGATAGTCATGAAGGCAGAGAGGTTGTTTTTCTTCACAGTGACTAGGTGTGTGGCTTTGCGTGACTGGATGTACTGAAGAGAGATTTAAAGGACTTTCCTTTCTCCTTCTTTAGTTTTGCCTGTGATTTCTTAGACGGCGACAGTTCCTTAGAATGCTGCTCCATCGACCCTGTGACAGGCGCCCATTGTCCTTGTCGCCGAAGTTCCAGACTCCTCACCAATGGCTACTACATTTGGACAGAAGACAGTTTCCTCTATGACAAAGATGGCCACATAAGTCTGAACCCATCCCAGACCAGTGTGATATACAAGGAGAACTTGGTCAGGTAAGTAGAGGACATTAAACAGAGAAATATCCAGTCCAGTCCATCTATTAACTGTTCATTCATTCACTCATTTACTCATTGAACAATTATTTATAAGTTCTCCAGACTGTAGAAATAGAAAGGGTAATAAGGGGTAGGGATAGATGACATGAAAACAAACAAAAGTAATGAAGTGATACAGGTTCTGGGACAAAAATCTGTGTAGGGTACAGTGGAGGGGAAAAGGAAGGGAGGTCTATTTAACTTGAGAAACAGGTAAAAACAAGCTTCCTAGAGATGTTGATGATTGATTTGAGTCATGAAAGGTGTAGGATGTTAGTAAAAATAAAAGTAGAAAAGGGGGCTTCTGGAGAAAGGAAACAGGCATGGGGTTCTGAGAGACCCTGATACAATTTGGGGAGTGGCAAGTAGTTTGTTAGTGGTACAACTTAGAAAGAGAAAGGGAGCTCTGTAAGAAAGGAGATGGAGAACAGAGGCAGGAGTAGGATGCAAGGGGTCAGATTTCAGGCTGAGGAGTTTGGGTTTTATTCTGTAGAAAAAGAGGAGCCATTGACAAATTATCAGATTTATTCTTAGAAAGGTAACAGTGATTGAAAAGTAGAGGACAGATAGTTGGGACTGTGGATATGTGAGTTGAGAGTGAGTAGAATGGGAAAACCTGCAGGCAGGATATCTGTGGATTGAAAGAAAGTAGTAGTAGCAAGGATAAAGGAGTGGAGGTGGGGAAATAGTTAAAAGGGATGGTAAGGAGGTGGGACTTGGTCATTGGATATGGGAGTTCCAGCAAAGGAAGGGTATTTGCATGAAACTTAGGACTCTGGCTTTGCCAACTGGAATGTAGATCACCATTTATCAGGATCAGACATAAGGAAGGGGCTTGCATGGAGGAAAGAAGATGAATGAGCTCACTTTGGATCAGTGAATTTGGGCAATCACATCCCTTTTCTTTTGCTTCAGAACCACCTATATACTCACTGCATCAGTCAGCTATTGACACAATAATGCTGTGTAACAAAAAAACTACAAAATCTTAGTGACATGTAACAATGAGCACACACATGTTTAGAAGTCAGTTGGGTTAGGTTGGTCTAGTCTAAATTAGACTGAGCTTGGCTTAGGTTGGAACCAAGTCTACTCCATATATGTCATTCTCTTGGGACCAGTGGAATAGAAGAAGAAATTTTTTTCCCATTGTAGTTGCACAAATGCAACAGGACATGCCCCAACGGCAAGTACATTTCAAGCCTCTGTGTGCATCAATCTACCAACATCCCATTGGTCAATTCTAGTCATATGGGCAAGCCAATGTAAGGGTCAGGGAAATACACTCCACCCATGTTGATGGAGTGGGAGGGAGGACAACCATATTTGCAGAACGATAACCCACTCTACCACACTGATGATCCCCAGACTTACATCTCTAACATAACTCGCCTTTCTGAGAGATGCCATTTCTCCAATAATCTTTCAGTCAGCTTCCTTGGATTTCCTATAAGCACCTCAAACCCAGTATGTCCAAAATCAGTATGTCATCTTTCCTTCAAACATGCTTCTCATGTAATTTTTACCTCAATGAAAAGAAACACCATTCACCCTCTCTTGGGAGTGAGGGTTGATCTTTTATTCATACACTCCTTTTACTCAGTTGGCCATTGTATTAGTCAGGAGAAGATAAGTGGTGGTAATCTATAGATCCAAAAATGCAATGATTCAAACAAAAACCAAATTTTATTTCTGGTTCATGTAATGGTCCAGGTGAATATTTCAGGTTAACTGGTGATCCACTTCCAAGCAGTGATACAGAGACCCAGACTTCTTTCATCTTATGATTCTGTCAATCAATAGAGCCCTTGGGGAGGCTCTGGAATGGTGGAGTTGCCTGGAGACAACTGGTGGAAGTAGGAAGAAAGAGATCTGGAGGAATACCTTCTTTCCTCAAGTCTCCAGCCCAGAAATGGCACACATGACCTCTGCTCACATTCTGTTGGGAAGACCTTAGACTCATGGCCACATTTAATGCCAAGGGAGCAGGGAGATGTAGTCCAATTGTGTGCCCAGGGAAAATAGATTTGGTAGAAAGATTATCGTTTCTGCCACAAGTGTGAAAACCAGATGAGTCCACTTCCCAAAATTATTTTGAGTTGTTCCGCTCCTCTCTATCCCCATGGCTGCTCTCTTCATTCAGACCATGATTACCTCTTATTTAGATTTCTGCTGTGGTCACCTTAATGCTTCATATGCCTCCTGGACTACCTGCCCTCCAATCCATCCTCCAGGCTGCTACCAGGTGTTTTTCCTACATTGCTTAGGCACCCTCCTTAAGGAAAGTTGACTCCATTTTTTTTTCTCCCACTTCACCTAAATCATAATTACCAATGTTTGTTAAATGAATAAATAAAATAAATATCATTTATTGGTTACTTCCTATACTAGGTACTGTCCCAACTGTTTTACACATTTACTTTCATTTGATTCACAACTCCTGCCATGAAAACCTGATGACATAGATTATATTACTGCCATTTCCATTTAGCAGAGGGAAGATATAAGTCCAGAGAGGTTAAGTAACTTTTCCAAGCTCATGGAGCTCTTAAGAGGAACCTTCTTGTTATTCAAGGAACAAGTCAGATCGTCCTATGCAGCTTAGATCTCACTTCTCCTGGAACGCCTCCTTTGATTCTCAATTATCAATGCCCTTCTCCATGCTCTCATAGCAGCCCCTAGGTAATTCTTTCGGAGCACTTATCCCATACATAGTATAGCAATCAGCAGAGGCTATGGAGCCTGACTGTCTGGTTTTGCATACTAGCTGTGTCACTTACTAGCTGTATAACCTCAGCCAAGTAACTTAATCTCTCTGTGCCTCAGTTTCCTGGTCTGAAAAATGGAGTAATAATAGTACCTACCTCATAGAGCTGTTCTGAGGATAATGTAAGTTAATCCATGTAAAGCACTGAGAAAGATACCCAGCACAGAATAAGCTGTATGAAAGCATTACCTGTATCCACATTATTCTTGTCTTTCTCCTAGAGTAGACTGTAATCTTTTTCTATGCAAGGTTTTGTCTCTCATATCAATATCTGTATTAGCCCATTTCTGTTGCTTACAACATAATACCTAGAACTGGGTGATTTGTAAGAAAATGAAATTCATTGCTGGGAAGTCCAAAGTCCAGGGAATTCATCTGCTGAGGGTCTTCTTGGTGGTGACTTTACAGAAATGCAGGGGACTCACATGGCAGAAAATGGGGAGGCAGAGAGACACTAACCTCCTCATTCACTCTCTTTTTAAAGCCACCAGAACCACTCCATTATTCCAAGGGTGGATCAATCCATTCATGAGGCTGCTGTTCTCACAGTCTGATGACCTCTGCAAGGCACCTCCTTTCAACTACCACAGTAGGATTTCCCACCTTCTTAACACGGTCACAGTGGGGACCAGCCCTCCAACATAGTAATCTTTGAGGGGACAAAATTCAATCTATGATAGTATCCTTTACATTGACTGAGGACCTGGCACACAGTAGAATTTTAAGAAACTTCTGTGGAATTAATGGAATGAACAGACGTGGGTTATAGAGGTGTATTTTGTGCACCAAGCCACTTTCACTAAATTCTCTGTTTCACACCTGAGGTGACCGCTATTCATTGTTCACCATGCTACTTTCACTTCTTCCCAGAATATTCAGAAAGAAAAAGAGAATCCGCCGTTCTCTTGATTCTCTCCAATATCTCAGTGCCTCTGAATCCTGGCTGCATGGAGGTATCCTTGGTGCTGTTGACTCTTCTCCAAGTGAGGACCGCGGGCTAGAGGGGCTCAGGAGGCTGGGTATGCACCACTGCAACGAAAGCGGTGAGTTTGAATCTTCCTTTCCAGGGTGAAACATCTTTCTGAATGGGTGGTGACAACCATGTGGTTCTGGACCAATGTCAAATCCAGAGCAGACAGGGATTTTGGTGGGGAGGATGGGCCACATTTAAAAAGTCCTCCTAAAGTTCTCTCCGCACTACTTGTGTGATTGAAATACATATATGTTCATGTCATGCAAAATAGCCTAATTTGAATGTGTAGTTTATTAAATTGATAATATTGGGAAAATATTTGCACATCTTCAATTTATCTTTTCTGTACAGACTATAGGTGAAAACAGTGTAGTGTAGTCTGGGTTCAAGTCGCAGTTTGGGCACACTTTACTTAACTTTGCTGTCTCAGTTTCTTCATTTTTAAAACAGATATGTATATGTAAAACAGTATATTCCTGTTGAAGCATGTAGTGTATATTATATAATATCATATGTAAGTATGTGTGTATGTCTACATATATACACACATATGTATACAAACAGTGATGGGAACTCGAAGCATGTTTTAAAGATTAAATGGGAAAATGACTCAGGCACAGTTTAACATCTGGTGCTCAATGAATTGTAGTTATAATTATTTTTATGACTACGGTAGAAATAACAAATATTTATTGGGCACCTCCATCTTCCAGGCACTGCACTAGGTCTGAGGACAGGAACATGAGTACAAACAACATAGCCCTGTCTTCTCGGGTCTTCTCGGGTCTTCTCGGGTCTTCTCGTTTACTGAGGCAGGGGGTGGGGCTCAGACCTGTGTTAAACAATTGTGCAAATGAACATGAAATAATACTTTTTGGAAGTGCCATGAAGAAAAGGTATATGATATAAAGGGAAATTTGACCCATTTGGAAACTCAGGGAAGGCTTCCCATGGAAGTGGCCATGGAGCTGAATTTTAGACAATGAGAGGGGCTTTCCCTTCAAAGGGGAAAGATAAGAATATTCCGGGTTGAGGAGCTAAAAAAAGGCTAGGGTCTGAGCAGCCTAGTGAGTAGACTTTCTGTGTGAGGGAACACCACACGCATGGTTTGGAACGCATTGAGTTTAAGTTCCTGTGGGACATCCAAGGGACAATGTCAAGGTGGTATTGATATTTGTAATTTGGAGGTCAGATGAGGAATCTAGATTAAAGTTATACATCTGAGAGTCATTTCAGTCGAGGTGGTCACTGAAGTCTTTGAGTGCATGATATGAACCAGGAAGAGGGTATGGCGTTGGCAGAAGAGAGCCTAGAATGGGACTTTGTGCACTCAGACATTGAATGGCTACGTGGGACAGGATTAGCCTGCAAAAGAGATAGAAAGGAAATATCCAGAGAGGTGAGTGGAAGACCAAGAGAGTGTTGTATAAGGAATGTCCAGGGAAAAGAGTGGTTCAGGACAGAGGGAACAGTCAACAGTGGAAAATCTTGCCAAAAAGTGAAAAGAATGGGGACTGGGAGTGCTCGCTGGATTCGTTGGCCTGGAGGTGACTGGTGGTGGAGTGAAGGTGGCAGAAGAGACGCAGGAACAAGGTGAAGAGAGAGGGGGAGGAGAGGAAATGAAGGCATGCCTTAGAGAAGGCTCTTTGATGTCTGCTGGTCAGGGAAGGAGAGAGACCCGATGGCAGGTGAAGGAGTGAGGAGACGGAGGTAGCCACGACCATCTCTTCTTCCCCTTCCTCCTCCTTCTCCTGTCAGTGGGGGAAATTTGAGCATGCTTCGCTTTATCAACAGATGGGCCTGAAATAAAAGTAGGTTTGTAGGCCCTCACTGACATGTCATATATTCATTTAACAGTCATTCTTTCGTTTAGCCATCCGCTTGTCACGCTCACTGAGTGCCTGCTGCATGCCAGCCACTGCACTAGGCACAGGTTCCTCAAAGCTGAACAAGACATAGCCTTCACCTTGAGAAATTCCTGGTTCAAAACAGGGAGATAAATATGTTTGCACATAATTAGAGAATAATGCCTTAAACACTGTAAGAGACTTATGAGCAAGGTGCAGAGAGAATGCCAGAGGGTTAGCCAGAGGCAGCGTTAGCTCTGACTGGATGAGGCCGGGAGGGCTTTAGTGGGAGGTAACGTCTAAGTGGGTCTTAAAGGATCAGTCGGATTGCTAGGCGGAGGTGAGCTGGAATGATCCAGGTTCTGCATTCCATCTTCCAAACTGCTGAGACGGTGGGCTTTCTAAGATGTAATTGTGGCCTTGTCAGTCCTTCTTAACACAGCCTACAAGATCATCTGAATATTTCCTACTTCTCCAAAAAGAACTGGCTGCATAATTGTGGGGCACAGTGCAAAATACAATGCAGGTTCCCTTGTTCAAAAAGGTTTAAGAATGTCAAGTGTCAACAGCAGAGCTTCAGACCAGGCGTGAGCCCCTCTGAGCATGGGGCCTCGGACACCTGCACTTGTCCAGTGCCCATATTGCTAGTCTTGTCTCCAACTTCATCTTCTTTCTTTCCCTTGTATGCATTCAACTGTGATCATGCTGATCAGCTCTCAGTTTCCCGAATGGACCATGCCCTTCCACATACATGTAGCTTTGTTCATGTTGCTCACTGTACTGGAAGCCATTCATTCATTCATCTAGAAGATTTTATTGAGGACCAGCTGTGCACCAGCCACTATTCTACACACCAGCACATAGTGGCGAAGGAAACAGATGAAACAACTTGTTCTAGTGAAACTTGAATTTCTGTAGGGGATATAGCCCAATAAATTATGTAGCATGCTAGAAAGTGCTGAGCAGTATGGAGAACAACAAAGGGGTAGTGACGGGGACTGAAGTCTAAATAGGGTGGTTTGGGAAGACTTCACTGAAAAAGACTTGAGCATTGACTTAAAAGCAAGAGCAAAATAGCTATGCCGATATCTGGGGGAGAAACAATCCAGGGAAAGGAAATGCGAGTGCAGGGGTTCTGGACTACAGCCTGCCTGGAGCTGAGGCAGTGACAGGGAGGACCTGGGGCAAGACCTGGTTGGAAAGCTCCTAGGCATGTGTCAGTGGCAGTAGGTGCAAGTGGGGAAGGAAAAGGAGAGCTGTGAGGTTATTTCAAAGGCTTTGCCTACTACTTTGACGGACAGGAGAAGCCAGTGGAGCATTTGGAGCAGAGGAATAACATGATTCAATTTACATTTTGACAGGATAACTCTGGCTGCTTTGTTCAGATTATATGTCAGGCATTGGGGACAGAAGCAAGGAAACCAGTTAAAAGGTGGTTGGAGAGATACAGGTTGGAGATAATAGTAGCCTGAACTAAGGTGAGAGCAGGGTGGTGGTGAGAAGTGGTAGGATTCTGAATACATTTCAAAGTAGAGCCAACAGGAATTGCCCACAGAGGTCTGTAAGAGAAAGAGAGAAGTCAAGGGTGCCTATTATATGCTGAGCACTTTACATTCCATCTTGTTTACATATTACCTTGTTTACATACATTATTGTATTTAAATATTCCAAAAACTCCTAGGTAGTAGGTCATATTATTGTATTTGTTATAAGTATGGTGAAACTGAGGTTCAGAGTTAAGTAACTCCCCCAAGGTCATTTAGCTCATGAACAGCAGAGTTAGAATTCAATCTACTCCCGCGGAGGGTTCGGATCCCATGTGGAGACCGGTTCCTGCTCACTGGCTGAGCGTGGTGCGGGCGCAGCACCGAGGGTTACGATCCCGTTGCCGGTCCCCGGTACGGGCGCGACACCAAGGGTCGCGATCCTGTTACCGGTCAGTAAAAAAAGACAAAAAGGAAAAAAAAAAAAAAAGAATTCAATCTAGATCTGTCTGATTTGGAAGCCCAGACTTTGCTCTACTGCCAGGAAGGGTTTTCCTCTTCTTTCCATGGTGAAGTCCAGCATGTACCTCATAGCTCAGAACCAAAGCATAAGCCAAAAAAAATCATATAATATAACAACATTATAATTTAAGTGTACAGTAATTTTACATACACTATATATATACTGTTTTTACTCAACCTGCTTCCTGGGCAGAAATCTCAAATACTACATTTTTAAACATTTTTAAATTTTAGTAATTATAGATCCACAAGAAGTTACAATAGCACAGAGAGGACCAGTGTACCGGGAAATTGACTTCAGCACAATACCATGAAGATTCCACTAGTTTCTATGTGCACTCGGCTGTGTGTGTGTGTGCATGTGTAATACTAGACTAGTTTTAAAATAGAATACATGCTTGTTAAATGAAGAAACATTTCCTTATATGAACAAATGATTAATTAAATTGAGAGTATTCTAGTTCCCTACAGGAACAAGGATGTTATTGCAGGACGAGGAGAGGAGAAAGAGGCAGGAACTGGAGGAAGAGGTTGGAAGGATAGACCGTAGATATTTGAAGAAGCTTCTGTGCCATTTGAGGAGTTTGGATTTTACCTAATCAATCAAGGATATTTTTGAAGGGTTTTAAGCAGGATGATGATGCAATCAGATCTGGATTTTGAAAGTCATCTTTGCAGGAGCATGAAGTGAGGGTTGGATGGAGAGTAGCTAATGGGAATTCAGAGGCAGTTAAAACCCACAGGCACACTAAGGAAGTGGCTCTGGAAACAGAGGAAGGAAGAGATTTAAGGAATAGTTTTTCAAAGTAGAATTATCAGGATGGTGACGGATTGAATATAGTGGTGAGAAAGTAGAAGGAATCAAAGAAAACTGATGTGTTCAGTTTGAGGGACTGCATGAAAAATTCTTCCAGTCACCAAGGGATGGAAGACAGTATGGCAGAGCGATAAGGAGAAAGGGTTTTTGAGCTGGAGAGACCTGAATACAAGTCCTAGAACCACCTTTCCCTACCTGAGTGTTCTTGGGTAAGTTAATTAACCTCTCTGATCCTCCATTTCTTCATATATAAAAGAAGAAAAATAATAGCACATAGGATTGTTGTGAGGATGAAATGCAATATTTCATGAAAAGTACCCTATTACCACAGGAGTTCAATTCATATTAGCTCTAAAAAGACAAAAAAGAATGGATTGAGGTCAGCAAAAGAGACAATGAA